AAGAGTCGTGCCCCATAAGGAGCTCCACCGGTGGCCTCACTGGGTGCTTCCGCACGGCGCCGTCATCCCCATGTCAACATACACCTCACAGTGATCACGCACCGTTCGGAGGTCGACCTATGCCCCCAGCGGGTGCGTCTGCATGGAGCCGTCCCCGTGTCGGCATTTCCCTCTCGAGGATCGTGCCTCATAGGGAGCTCTACCTATGGCACCAACAGGTGCGTCCACATGGTGCCGCAGTCCTCATTTCGGCATACTCCTCATGAGGATCGTGCCTCATAGGGAATTCCAGCTATCCGGATGGTGCCGCCATCCCCGCGTCGGCACATTTTCCATGAGGCTCGCGCCCCTCATGGGTCTCCACCTATGGCCCTAACCAGGCCGTCCGCATGGCGCCGCCGCTACCAAATCTGCCCCGTAGGGCGTTCCACTGGGAATTATTCCGCGTATACGCTTTCCCCGCCAATTGCGGCACAACCCTCACGCGAGGCGTGCCAAATGGGAACCCTCACCTGGCCCACTGGTTGTGCTGGCATGGCGTCCCTGCCCATTTCGGCACACCCCTCACGCGGAGCGTGCCCCTCAGAGAATTCCACCAATGGGCTGAATGGAGGTGCTCGCACGGCGCAGCCGCCCCCATTTCGGCACACCCCTTACGTGGATCGTCTCCTCAGGGAGCTCCACTTCATGTGCTCCCCGTCGATTTCAGCACTTTCCTCACAAGCATTGTTCCCCACAGGGAGTTTGGCGCCCTCCTGCCCACCTCTTCGGCAGCTCCCGATCCTGACTGCCCTGCGGCGCGCATCGTAAAAAGAACATTCCATGCTCCACGCCACATGCAGCTGCATCAGGCCTGGCTCTTCGCAACACTAACTATCCAGCTGCCTACGGCAAGTCCCGCCACCGTACCTGGGTTGTAGGTTATAGGCATCTTGGATGTTCGCTGGGATATCATGGGAGGCCTCTCGGGGGCCTGTTGGATGCAGTTTGCAGGCCTCTTGGGAGCCGTCTGGGGGCCTCTTCAGGGGCTTCATTTTGGCCTCTAGGGGGAGGGCCTCTTGGGGCCTCCTGGTGTATTGCAGGGTCTTTGCAGGGGACTTCGCAGGGTATTGCAAGGTCTTTGCAAGGTCTTTGCAAGGTCTTTGCAGGGTCTTTGCATGGGGGCCTTTGCATGGTCTTTGCAGGGTCCTTGCAGGGGGGTGCAGTCGCCTGTCCGCGTCCCGCGGAGGGGGTCCTTTAGAAGACTGCAGAAACCCTCCCAGGCAGCACTTGGGCACTTCATCCGCTTCCATGACGGACCCCATTTGGCCAAATCGTAACCAGATCATACCCAAAGCGTAACCATATAGGATCGTAGCCACATCGTAACAACATCTGATACAGCGTAACCAAATCGTAACCACATTTGACGTTTCATAATTAAAACATAACCAAAACACATGTCGTAATCAAATTTCGCGCAACCCGATCAAAACAATGCACCCCTCTCATACAGAATTGGCTCAGCAAGAGGACGATTTGGTTACGCATGTGCACGCAACAAACCATTATAAACTACAATACTTTAGGCGCGTGATTTGGTTACGACGTCTTGTCTTCTAGGGGCCCTATCGCCCTATAGCTCTATAGCCCTATAGCCCTATAGCTCTGTGGCCCTGTAGCCCTAGAGCCCTAGAGCCCTATAGCTCTAGAGCCCTATAGCCCTACAGCCCTATAGCCCTATAGCCTTATAGTCCTATAGCCCCTATAGCCCTATAGCCCTATACCCCATAGCCATATATCCCATATAGCCCCATAGCCCTGTAGCCCCATAGTTCTATAGCCCTCCGGTATCATATGTCGTGTCGTTCTTCTCGAATTATGGCGTTGCTGTTCTGAAGCATGCTCTTCTGCTCTGTGGCATCGCGTTTTAATATGATATGCCCTGTCATTTTATGTTATACGATGCGTTGATCAGTGATGCCGTTTATGTTTTGCTGAGTTTAATATGGACTATGATGCCCTGCTCTGTTACGACACACCTCCCCAATGAAGGTCTAGTATTCCGTGTTATGTCAACTTTTTTGCCGTAGGAATATCAGTGGTGAAAGATTTTTGCTATGGTATGCTGCGTAGGTTGTGCTCTGTTCTCTGTTCATTACATTGTGTTATGTTTTGTTGGCATCTGCAATCTGTTAAAAATCTACGGTGCGCGACTACATTCGTTGCCGTCGTGGCACCAATAATAAAACAATTATGATACGCTCTGCTATGATTTGTGATGGTCTACCCACTATACTCCGCTATAGCACGATCTGCGTTGTTAGTTGATGATGTGATCGATGCTGCATTCAGTCATGCCCTACTATCTGAGCACATGAGATTTGATTATCTCCTATGCCCTGGTATGTTATTTGATCTGATGCCAGGATCCTCTATTCTGATTTTGTGCTAGACTATGGTATGTCATGGCATTGTGTGAAATGGTGTGGCCTGTTATCTTCAGCTATGTTATGATGTGCTCTGTCTTTTGTTGTTATGATGTATGGTGTTATGGTATGCCCTGCATGCTCCATGATGTCATTGCAGTCGGTGTTATGAGGCGTCCTTGTCATGTCCTGCTGTTCTGGCATGTTGTGACATGTTCTGCGTTGTTATGTTACGGCGCTCTCAAATATTATGGTATGATATGTTGTAGTGTCTTATGCCACGCACTGCCATGGTATAAGTTGACCATGTATGTGATGCTATGCGATGTGATTTTGTGCTACGGTATGATATGTTCTGCCATGATATGTTATGGTATAAGATGTCACGTCATGGCATATTGCGGTATGCTCTGTTATGGTGTGGTGCGAGGTGTGGTGTTATGTTCTGTTATGTAGGATCCGTTCTGTCATAGTTTGGTGGGGTCTGCAATGTGATGTTCTGCTATGGTGTTACATGTTGTGCCGCACTCTGGCATGTCATGCTTTGTCATCTGTTCTGCGATGCTATCGGTCATGCTATCGATGCTGTAATGTCGTGTTATGTTGTGGTGTGTTCTGTCATTGTCTATAACGATATGTTATGTTATGTCATGCGTTGTTGTGGCATGGCCAGTAATGGTATGTTACGTACGTGTGTTGTGTACGATCCAGTATGTCATATCGTTCGTTGTTTTTTCTGTGTTGTGCTCACATATGACATGCACTGTTATGCGAGGCTGTGACAGATGCTCTTTTGGAATGTCCAGTTATGTGATGTGTAATTCTGGTGTAGTTTCTGATATGGGATGGTCGGTGCTGTGATGCCGTGCTATGGTATACACTGCTCTGGCATGATGTGTTATGTTACGACATGTTTTGTCAGGATCTGGTATGTTTTGCTCGGATGTGTCATGTTAGGTGCTGTGGTGTTATGTAATGTTGTGTCATAGCTTATCGAATCGTGCTGTACAGCGTTTTGCTATGTTATACTACCGCTCTGTAAGGTCATGATGTGTCGGCGCGAGGCGGGACGCTCGGGGACACTCAGGGGACCTGGGGATCTGGCGGCCGCGGGTTGCAGAGTGGCGCGGAGCTGGACTCTCGGGGACACTCGGGGACTTGGGGACCTGGCGGCCGCAGTACGCAGAGTAGTGCGAGGCGGGACTCGGGCACACTCGGGTGATCTGGGGACTTGGCGGCCGCGGTACGCAGAGTGGCGCGAGGCGGGATTCTCGGGGACACCCGGGGGGCCTGGGGACCCGGCGGCCCCGGTATGCAGAGTGGCGCGGGGCGGGACTCTCGGGGACATATGGGGGACCTGGGTATCTGGGGGCTGCGACATGCAGGGTGGACGGGTCGGGGGGTCTGTTCTCAAAGTCTAGCGACCCCAACCTGTCGGGTGGGGAACAATTCCTCCCTGTCGCACCCCAGGGCGGGTCGCTCTGGCGGGCCAGTCGCTTCGCCAAAGAAGTCTTCACCATTTATCCCGAAGCTTGGCTTTTGCAACAGGCTCACGAACGGAGGGCGGGTCGTTTTCAAATCTCGGTCTAGCGCCGCGCATAGTCGTTTTAAAAGTTTGCAACAGTGCCACGGGTGGAGGGCGTGTGGCTATCAATAGTTAGTTTTCGCTTTAGCGCCGCGCACATTCGTTTTAAAATTTGCAGCAGTTCCACGGATGGAAGGCGGGTGGTTTTCAATCTATGGTTCTCGTTTGAGCGCCGCGCACATTCGTTGTGATAGTGTAGAAGAGCTTCACGGATGGATGGCGGGTGGTTTTCACCATGTGGTTCTCGTTTTAGCGCCGAGCACATTCGTTTTTGTTTCAAAGTGTTGAAGAGCTTCAGGGATGGAGGGCGGTGGTTTGCAAACTGTGGTTCTCACTGTAGCGTCGCGCACATTCGCTTGCAAAGCTTGCAAACCAAATCACGGATGGAGGGCGGGTGGTTTTCAAAATGTGGTTCTCAATTTCGCGCCCGGCACCGTCGTTTCAAAGCTTGCGAGAGGTTCACGGAATGAGGGCAGGCGGTTCTCAATATGTGGTTCTTCCCTTGACCCTGCGTACATTTTTCAAAGCCTCGCACAGATCCGTGTCAAGGACTTTCAAGCACTCTTATGGTCGACGTCCCAGAAATCGTCTTCTGGCACGATCTAGGATTGTCAGGGCGCGACAGTCACGCTGATTCGCTTGGTTGACGTCTAAGACATGGTGTTCTGGCGCAATTTGCAATCGCCAGGTCGCAACAGTAAGTTTGGTTCGCGGCGTTGAAGTCCTGGGAATGGTGCTTTGGCATGGATGCAGACTTTCAGACGGTTGTTTTCCAACGGGGCTCGTTCCCCAGCGAAGACAGATCTTTAGGAGAGCCTGTGAAGAGGGAACTTCGAGGAGGGTTGTGTTGCAACATGGTGGATGGGTCTTGGGTTTGCACTGGTCCTCCTCCTCCTCCTCCTCCTCCTCCTCCTTCTCTTCCTCCTCGCCCTCCTCCTCCTCCTCCTCCTCCTCCTCCTCCTCCTCCTGGTCCCCCACCCCTCCCTCTGCTCCTCCGGGGTGCGCAGGCGAGCTGCTGCTGCAGGCCACTCGGCAGCTGTCGGTGCTCTCCGCGCGGGACCTCGAGCCCGGCGCCGCGCACCCCGGGCTTCCCGCCGGCGGGCCGTGCCATCGCTCAGAGAGGCTCCCCAGGAATTCCTACACACCTCCTCCTCCTCCTCCTCCTCCTCCTCCTCCTCCTCCTCCTCCTCCTCCTCCTCCTCCTCGCCCCCCTCCTCCTCCTCCTCCTCCTCCTCCTCCTCCTCCTCCTCCTCCTCCTCCTCCTCCCTCCTCCTCCTCCCCCTCCTCCTCCTCCTCCTCCTCCTCCTCCTCCTCCTCCTCCTCCTCGATCTCCTCCTCCTCAGGGCCTGCCAGAATGTGCTTAACGAGAGTGTCTTGTCCGCCGACCGCCGATGGCCCTGGGGGGCCGGATAAGAATCGGTGGCATTTTCAGGAATGTCAGAGATCGTTGAGTAATGTGCCCCAGTACTTTTTGGAGCCGGATTTCGTATCGCATGTTTCTTCTGCAGGTCGCCCGCGTGGGCGCGAAGATAACCGCGCTTCGCGCATCGCGGTCTGGGCCAGGCCGGCTGCCCTTCTCCAATGGGGGCGGCGCGAGGGCTCGAGGGCGCGGAGGCACTCCCGCGTCGCGCATCGTGGGGCGCGCTGCGCGAAGCCAGGTGATCGAGCCCTAAGGTGGCATCCATAAGGCACAACCCGCCCTCGGACAAGAAGCATTGCTTTCCTTTCAGTTGTTGAACTGGCTTCGTTTCATTGCTTCTTCGGCCTCAGCAGCGTCCGCGGCGGGCCAAGAGGCCTCCGAGATCGCCCCCAGGACGGCTCAGACAGGGCCTTGCGCCAATCCTAGGCTAGTGCTACCTGCTGCCCCGGCCACGGAGAAGCCCCCTGGCGATCATGGCTACCGCGCCACCCACTGGCCACCAGGGCACGCTGCCCCGCAAGCAGGCCGCCGCCCAGGCCGCCTCCTGCACGGCTGGCGCTCTCACACGGGGGACCCCGCCCATGCCGCGCCGCGCCGGGGGCCGTCGCACCCTGGCCAACCCGCCGAGGGCTCGAGCAGACGGGCCGCGACAGGGCAGCCCGCCACGGGGCACGAACCGAGGGGCCACGCGACGGCGCTGCTCTCCAGGAGCCTGGCCCCTGCGGCCTGCGCGCCACAGCACCGCGCGCTGCGCGCTGACCACCAGGGCACGACACGCCACCGTGCTGCCAGCACCGCCCACGGCGCGCCCGCGGGGCCCACCCTCGGAAGGGGCCAGGGGCCCAGGCCGGCCCGCCGGGAGCTGGAGCCCTGCAGCGGTCCTGCCGGGCCGCCTGGGGGCACGAGCCCGAGGCGCCGCGCGGCGACGCCGCTCGCTGGGAAAACGGCCTCCGTGGCCCGTGGGCCATAGCACCCCGTGGCCGAGTGCCCGCCATGCCACGCGCCGTCCGCGCGCCGCCGTCAAGACCGCCTCAGGGGTCGGCACTCCGGGCGCGGCGCGAGGGGCTCGACGAGCTCGCCCAGCCGGGCACGAGGCCGCGGTCCCAGTCGACTTGTGGGCCACCACTTCCACCGGCCTCCCCCCCCCACCGCGGCAGGCCGCCTCCACGGCCGCCTCCACAGGGAGCCCCTCCTTGTGGGCTCCGCTCGGGATGTGCACGTCCTCAATGGACGTTGCGCGGCACCTGCGGCGCTCCATCGCTTTTGCGGTCAGAGTCTCTTCCGACCCACCAGCGGCCAGAACGCGGATCCGAGGTGCTCCTCGAGCCTCGGGCCCACATCCCTCGAGCGGCCACCAAGCCAGGCCCTGCCCGCAGGCCGCCGTCTCTGCCACTTCGGGCAACCGTCATTAGTCATTACGCCAGCCATGGCCACGCCAGCAGGCCGCCGCCACGGCTGCCTCCACCTCTGGCGCCGCCTCCGAGCGGCCCTCGCTCTGGACTTGCACGTCCGCTACGGACGCTGCTCGGCGCCCGTTGCGCTTCACCCTCCCTGTTCCTGTGGTCAGAGTCCCTCACGCCCCACCAACCGCCTCACATGGAACGCTGGCCCAAGTTGTTCTTCGGGCCCTGAGTACACCTCGCCTGGGCCTCGCGTGAGCCTGCACCCCACCGCTGGTGGGTCCCGCACCGGGGGTGGTATGACACTGCCGCCCCTGCGCCTCCTTCTCCTCTCTCTTGCCCTCCTTCCTTCCCTCGGCTTCCCTCCTCCCCGCCCCTTTGCCCTGCCTGTGTCCTGTCCTTTCTTTCGGGTGGCGTTCCTATGCCCCCTTGGGCCTTGTGCCCCTCTGTGCAAGTACGCGTGGCTGTTTCTGCTAGCGTGTGCGTCCGTCGTGCGCCTTTCTCGGTTCGAGGGAACGGCGGCCTCTTGAGCCTCACCGCTGAGGGTTGTTTTGTGGAGGCGCGCAGGGCGGCCGTATCGTTCTTCTAATGGTTCCTACAGAAACGCGACGTGCAGCATACACCGTTGGGATACAGAGAGAGCATACACAGTAGCGGAATCGTCGTCTGGCTGCCCACAGTGAGCCCACTGCGCTTACGGACGGCAAGAGGCGCAGTTTACAGGGCAGCCTCCCGGCGCTCAGGCGGTCTGCCCCGTGGCACAACGCCATTGTTGGCAGCGCTGGGACACTGCGGGGCCCAGCGGGACAGCGCCAACCTCGAGCGGGCAAAAAGGGAGGCCACGAGGGCCATCGAGAGGAAGGGCGAAGACACCACCACGGAGGATGGCGAGCAGACGAAGGCGGGCCCGATGCAGAGCATGATGAAGCAGATGATGGGGGCCACTGGCGTTTGATGGACAAGGTGAAGGCGCTCGAGACCAGGGGGAACAGCAACGCCGGCGAGGCCCCGAGCGCCACCAGCTGGGAGACCCCGTTCGAGTCGAGCGGTCCAGCCGAGGAGCCCCTTGCGAGGAGCTCGCGGGCGTGGCCCGACATTGGCGGCGCCTGATCTCCAGCGCTGCGCGACAGCAGGGCGGCTAGAAGAAGTTCTGGTCGGTGATGGCGCACGAGAGCGGCGTCTGCGATGGTCAGCCTGCGCCCCCGTCTCGTCGCTCAGCGCAGAAATTGACAAGCAGCTCGGCCCAGGGACAGCGAACCATGCAAGCAGCTGGAACGGGCGTGAGCTGCGGGCACTCCGAGGTCACGCCGCAACCAGAGGCGCGCGACCGATGTAACCCGCGACGCCTGTGGGTTCCATCCTCAGCAACACTGCGGAGGGCCCGAACGCCAATCCGAGTGCGCCACACTTGGTGGAGAGGGTGAGGAAGATAAGGGCCTGGGCCGTCCGCGAGTACAAGGGCGCCGCGCAGACGGCCTGTGACCAAACCGCATCAGGAGACCATGCGCACTGGCAGCGGCCCCTCTGGCGCAAGGGCCAGGCCCGCAGCATGGCGCGGACGATGGTGGGCGACAGGGGAATGATCAAGGTTGCCAGGCGCGCCCTCGGCGCGCGCGCAGCCGGCGGGAGGGGGGGCTCTAGGAAGCAGTGCCTGGTCGCGACCACATCGCCGCGAGTGGCTGCCAGGCTGGAGCGCGAGTCTGGGACTTCGCGCGCAACGCCTGCGCAGAGACCCTCAAGCAGCAGCCAACAGCCCCTACTTTGTCCTTCGAGAGCACGCCGGCGAAGTGATGGCACGTCCAGGCGGACTACTTTGAGTGGGCACACCCACGCCTGAAGGAAACGGTGAAGGGGGGCATGCTCGTGGATGCAGGGCGCCGTGTCCGGGCGACGGAGTGACCCTGCAGGACGGAGGGGGCGCGGCGCGCCAGGGTCGGAAATGGCCAGAGATGAAGGCCGTCTGCGAAGAGCGGTGGATGTCATATTTGGGGATGCCGCAGCGCATCAATGCGTCAGCGCGGATCCTAAGGTCGAGTGTGTGTGTATATATATATATATCTCATATATACATATATGCATACATATATATATAGAGAGAGAGAGAGGAAACCAATCTATACATATATATATATATACAAGATTTTAAGGCTCGCTGCGCTTCGCCTTCTAATCTTGATCCTTGCACCTACGATGTTTCTGGGCGCGGGCGAGAACACAATTGTTCAATGAGGTGTGTGGGAATTGTGCGAGCGGGGGCGAGGCGAGGCGAGTGCGCGGTAGCGCCCGGGGCGGGGCTCAGGGCGCAGCGTTGGTGGACGCTTGAATGGAGGTGAAGGTGGAAAGTCGGATGCCGGACGCTAGAGGTCGGAGTGCTGAGCTGATGGAGGCTGGAAGTCTATAGGTGGAAGTCCCACCAGCCCTTTAGGGCTACGGTGGTATAACGAGTTTGGTCTTCTCTCTTCCCCTTCCTTCCCCTGCTCGGGGGAGGGGTAACCTTCCCCTGGACCTGGAGGGGGGGGGATGGAGGCGTTAGAGCGTCCAAGACGGCTCAAGATGGCTCCAAGAGGCGCTCCAAGTCGCAAGATGGCCTCCAAGATGGCCCAAGATACCTCAAGATGGGTCAATATAGCCTCCGACACACCTCCAAGAGTCCTCAAGACGGATCCAAGTGCCCTTCGAGCCCTCCACGGCGCCCTCCAAGAAGCCAGAACCCTTCAAAAGCTTAAGGAAAGTCCATGTGTTTGGCATTCTCGTCTTTTCGCTTCCGATGGGCCCCTGAAGCATCAAGATGGCCCCAATATGGCCCAAAAGAGCCCCAAGAGGGGCCCAAGAAGGCCCAAGACGGCCCCAAGATCGCCCAAGAGGCTTCCAAAGAGCGCTCCAACACGTCCCCAAGACGCCGTTTGAGAGCCTCCGAGGGGGGGACCTGAATTGATGACCCCCGCTCTTTTTGAACAATGGGGCCCAAGACGGCCCCGAGAGGCCTCCCAGCCTCTCCTGAAGATTCTCCACCCCGCCCTTCTTGGCCCAAGATGGCTCCAAGAGAGCCCTAGATAGCCCAAGATGGCCTCCGAAATGGCCCAAGATAGCCAAGCATGGCTCAAGATAGCCTCCGACAGATCTCCAAGAGGCCTCAAGAAAGCCTGAATATGGCCCGACATAGCCGAGCATGGCTCAGAATAGCTTCTGACAGACTCTAGTCGAGCATGGCTCAGGATAGCCTCCAACAGGCCTCGGGAAAGCTGGCAAT